TAGAGTGATCTGTGAATTTGGACAAAGTGCTTTTCACCCCCTTATCCAAGTTGCTGATGAAGATGTGGAACAGTGCGGGCCCAAGGACCGAGCCCTGGGGAACCCCACTGCCCACATCCCTCCAGGTCAAATGACCCATCCACCACCACTCTCTGGCTGTGGCCCTCCAGTCAATTAGCGACCCATCTGACCATGTAGGCATCGACACCACAGTCACCTAATTTTTTAATGAGAATGGGGTGAGAGATAGTGTTGAAGGCCTTCCTAAAGTCCAGAAAGACTACGTCCACCGCGACACCTGCATCTAAGGCTTTTGTGACTTGGTCATAGAAGGCCACCAGGTTGGTCTGACAGGACCTGCCTTTAATGAACCCAGGTTGGTTGCCCCTAAGCATAATCTCCCCTGCTGGTCCCTCGCAGATACGCACCTGGATAATTTTCTCAAAGAGTTTCCCCAGGACCGAGGTAAGTCTAACAGGCCTATAGTTTCCTGGGTCCTCTTTCCTCCCTTTTCTGAAAATGGGAACCACATTGGCCCTTTTCCAGTCCTCTGGCATCTCGCCAGAGCACCATGAGTGCTTGTAAAACCATGCCAGGGGTCCCACAATGACCTCTGCTAATTCCCTCAGCACTCTGGGGTGGAGATCATCAGGACCTGCTGATTTGAACATGTCTAGTCCCACCAGAAGTTCCCTGACTAGGTCCTCACTGACCCCGGGCCTGGGTGTGCCTCGCCTGGTACGGTCGGGGATCTGGTGGGGGGGCCTGTTTTTTCTGACCTGCTCAGAAAAATGGAGGCAAAGAAATCGTTAAAGAGATTAGCTTTGTCGTCTGGTGTGACCACCAGTTTTCCTAGCATGTCCTGCAGGGGTCCAAGTTACTTGGTACCTTCTTTTTACCCCCTACGTATTTAAAAAATGACTTCCTGTTATCCTTGATCCGGGTCGTTAGTCCCAGTTCCATCTCCGCCTTAGTCTTCCTAACAACCCCCCTACAATCTCGAGCCAAGGAGGTATAATACTCCCTGGTGATGGCCCCTCCCTTCCATTGGGTGTACACCTCCTTTTTAGCCATGAGATGTTCCTGGATGCTTTTGGTGAGCCATGGAGGCTTTTGAGCACTCTTGCCCCCTTTGATCCGCATTGGGATCGTCACCCTTTGGGCTTGGAGGATCGTCTCCTTAAGAAACGACCACTCTTCTTGGACTCCCAACTCCCCTCCCTTCCAGGACCTCAGAGCCTCCCTGACTAGCCTCCTTACCTCATTGAAATCCACCCTCCTGATGTCCAGGGCTGCTGCCTTGCTGCGGGCCTTTGCCACCCTGTGCTGAATCATGAATTCCAGTAGGCGATGACTGCTATCACCCAGGTGGTCGATCACCTGCAGTCCTCTCACCAGGTCATCGCCTGTGGCCAGGACCAGATCCAATAAGGCATTTCCCCTGGTGGGACTATGCACCTCCTGGGTTATATGGAGGTCCTGTAACTTGGCTAGGAACTTATGTGAGCGGTCAGACCTTGGCTGGGACTTGGGCAGAGAGAGCAGCCAGCAGCACCAAGCTTCTGGACTCCCTGCTGCTACCATCCCTGCCCCTCTAACCCCCTCCCAACACTTCCTTACCATCACGGCGACTGTTCCCGCAGCAGCCATTGTGTGTGTGTGTGTGGTGGGGGGGAGGGATGTGGCTGTGTACATGTGTTCTGAACTCCATTGGAGCTCTGTGGTGCTGTTCTGAATTCTAGGAAATATTGTTTTGTGAATGAGGATGGCTACTGTCTGCTTGCATAAAGGTATGGTTAATTGATTTATGGGTATTTACTTTTTATATTACTAAATTGTCTCCCCCCATCCCTAATTTTGTGCAATCCTGAAATTTAAATCAATAAAAATAGAAAAACATACCTAATTTCATGTAATCCTAAGTAGGTCAATTGCTAATAATCAAAATAAATGCTTAAAAACAAACACTGATTTTCAAAATTTAAAAAAAAAGAGTTTTGCCAAGCCCACATATGTGACAAATTGAGAGAAGAGGCAACAGAGGGATTCTGGGTAAGCTGTTTAGGGCTGAATTTGGTGATGCTTGCCAGACATTTAAGGCTAGTTAAAAAAAAACAAAAACCCAAAAATTTGTAAAATGGGAAAGAAAGGCTTATTTCAGCTGTAGGAATGAAGAGGAAGTTTAAATAGATGCAGTGTAGTGGCTCACCATGACTCCAAGAAGAATCAGTTCTGTGGGGAATTGAATACAGCGGGAACTATCACATATCTTACTTAGGTGAGCTATGCTACCCTGTCCTTTTGGTATGTTCTCATCAGCATGTTTGCCCAATATGGCCCATATGTTTTATAGTCATGCTTAGTGTAGGTTGCATATATTTAGTCATACTGGCTTTTCATTACTGAGCACATACTACTTCTGGCAGCAATTTAATGAAAGACAGTGTACTTAATTAGGTTTTTCTTTGTATGTGAAAGTACTAAATGGGGGAAAAACCCTTGTCTTATATTTGAGTAAATACAGTATTTGGAAGGGGAAAGGGTCTCTCTCAAGTTCCTTCTGTTTGAATAGCACTACTTTGTATAAACAAGTAAATTTACAGAAGTAGAACCTGACACTAGTGTCTCTCAAATAGCAGGTGAGTGGCCTGATCACTGAGCAATGAGGTCTCTTTCTCTTTCTGGTCTAATGCTCCTTGTTTCAGTTGTATTCCTTGTTTCTCAGGTGCCCTTCACCTCTCCCATGCACCAGGATTGAACTCCAAGCTTCCCTGTGCATATGATTTAGCATTCAGGGCCACAGCCCACAGGCCTAACCATGGACTCATAGAGAGCTCCAGAGACCAGATCTGGCCCATGGGTTAAGCAAAGCTGTCTGGCTACTGGCCAACAAGCTACATGTGGCCCCCAAGGATAGGGACAGACATTTAAAAGGCCTGAGCCTGAACTGATTCAATCTTTGCAGGCTAGTCTAACTTAGCTAGGTTAAACTGGTTTGTAACTGTACAGACATCCCCTCTGAACTGAAAAAAATCAGGTACATGTCTGCAGTGGCTTAGGATAGAAGCTGAGAAGTGCTAGAGCAGCCCCCCCCCCCCCCCCCCCCCTTCCACAAGGCTGAGCTGAGGGGGATATAACCAGGCCACGGCAGGACTCTATTATTCCCCACTCCTGAGCAGCCCAGCAGGGAATGTTTCTCACCCCTAACTGTTTACTAACCCATTAAAAAAAAAAAGCCTCCCTCCATTAACTAATGGAGCTCTCTAGGGAGGAACATTAAGCTACCTGTTGATTAACTCCAAAAAGCCTGTCTGCCTTTGTCGTCTCCCACAGCACAGACTGTAGCCAGCATGTGGTCTGCTAGCTAACGCTGAGGTGTCTGCGTAAGGCAGAGGGGAGCAGGGAATAATCCCTGCTTAGCAGGGAGAAGCCAGGCAGACGCTCTATGCCTGCAAATCTCTGCTGGAGCTCCAGCCAGGGAGCAGAGGGGAGGGGCCAGCCCTGCTATGGAGCAGAGAGCTCTGCCCAGTCCAGAAAGCATGCTGGGATGCTGGGGGAGTCTGGTTTATCTTAAACCAGCAAGGGGTCTGGAACAGATATTGTATAAACCAGTTTGACCTAAGTCAGTTAAGTCTGATACTATGTTCAACCATGTTTATCTCAATCTGTTTTCAGCCATTTTGAAATTGGTTTCTGTGAACTGAATGTCTATTCTGTTACAGGTTAAAACCAGTTTCTGATAACTTAAACCAGTTTATGTGTAATGTTTGTCCCTAGCCCAAGAAGTTAAGATGCCCCTGGGCTCCCATCCCACTGCTACTTTCCCCCACTGCTTTTGCTGCAGCAGCAACTGAGGTCTCTTGTCAGCTCCCCCACACCATGTTCTGCTTCTTTACCCTGCCCAAGGCACAGGGAAGAGCAGGGACACCAATACACAGTGTTGGGGGAACCCACAGCTGCAGTACTGTGAATGGGGGTCAGATCGCAGTGCAGTGTGAGCAGGTGGAATGTCCATGAAGCATGATGCAGTGGGAAGAAGTACACAGTGTAATGCAGCCACTATTTGGGGTGGGGAGGTGGCCACATGGCATGGTGCTGTGGATGCAGCCCCCAGCTGGTTAGAAGTTGGACAGCCCTGTAATAAAACACTCTCTGAGATTTTTGCATAAAGTGGGCTGCTGGTGCTGTTAAAAATGCTCTGAATATTTAACTGCCAGTGGAGGTTGCATAGGAATCCACAGGTACCAATGGTCCAGTGCAGGATTTTTGTCCCAGATACTGTTTAGCAAAAATTAAATAATAGACTTTGTATGATGTAAGGGATTATAGACTGATTTAAAGACAAAGAACAAAAGAATGTGTATATAAAATATTACTATCTTTCAAGGCTTTGGCCTCCTATGGGCATCAGGGATAGAAGACAGTGATATTTTTGTTGTTTTTCTCAGGGGAGGTGCACAAATTCTGTGGTGATGGACACCAGTATGAACGTTTGGAAAGCTTGACACACAAATAAAAGTGCTCATAAATCTTATCTCCTAGAAATTCTCTTGTGACCCTGGACAGAATTATTCAGTATTCCTACTCTTTATTTCTTGGAAGAAGATTAATAGCTTTTGTTTTATATTTGTTTTAATATGTTTTATATATGGTCTAAAAATAAAATTGTTTTATATGCACTTTTACTAGTGTATTGTAGCTCTTGTAAAAACAAGAGTTGAATATATTTTATTGACTTCTATAGTATATGTCCAGCAACACTTTGAGAATAATGGCACACCTAGACCTAATCCCATTATTTACATTTGAAAAGAGTTTGTATTCTCAAATGTATCTGAAATAGTACAATTACTAAATTTGATTAAACGTTTACGATGCTTAAAAAATCAAGCTAACACTGATAATAATATCTGACATTTGTCTGTTAAATCATTAGAATAGTTACTTAGGAAGGTCATCTTTACTCAGTATTGTGTTTTGTTTTGTTTTTGAAATTTCAGACCCATCTGCTCCACCAGCCCCATCTAATATCAGAATTGAAAACATAACTACAAACAGTGATGGAAGTGTAAATGTAAAGATTGCTTGGGATCTCCCAGAAGAGCCTGATATCCCAGTGCACCACTATAAAGTCTTCTGGAGCTGGACATATAGCAAATTTGTGATCCCAGCTAAAAAGAAGAGAAGGAAGATTACTGATGGGGTAAGGAGGAAAAATGAAATTGAGGCACAAAAGCACCTATTCAGTCATACATTAAATATTAAATATATATTTTGGTCTAAAACAAATCTAAATATTTTCGAAGAGGGAAAAGTGTATAGTTTATACATTCAGTTTATAAAATTACTTGTAATTTATAGTTTTCCTTCCCCACAAACCTGTCATTTTTCCATGTATGCCCAATAAAGTCAAAGAGAGGAGCAAATGTATATTGAAAAAAAAATTCAAGTCAGTAAAAACAAAAGAAAAATATTTATGTGTCAACATAAGAGATAAATGGCAACCTATTGCAGATGTAAACATAAGAAAACAATATTTGTCCTCTAAAATAAGTGTTTATTTTACTGGAAGCCTTGAAATGATATGATGCATATTTTACTCAGAAAGCAATGAATGTCATCTCTAGCACAATTCTTTCATTATAACATTTGATCTTTGAAACTGATCTTTCACAAATCAGAGCAATTTCTGATGATCTAGGTCCAAGATAATAAAATAAACTTATTGTATAACTGAGCTGAAATATTTCCTTAGAAGCAAATTAATATAAACGTCTGGAGTGATATATAATCAGGGTTTTTATTATTAAACCAGTACATCTGTTCTGATACTTTTAGACACACATTATTTTATTTCTACATAGATATTTAATAGAAATAGAAGACCATAAAACACTGCAAAGCAGGCTCTTCTCTAATTTGTGCCACTGTAAAAGCCAGTAGAATTGGGCCCCAAGTCTGAATTAGTATATATAGTGCATAGTATATATAGTGGAGTACAGTGGAGGTAAGGATATGTTTCAAACTTGCTCACTCTTGAACCCTTGTACTTTGGGGAAAGATTAGGGCATCTGCTACTCTAACTTCCACTATGACAATGAATCAGGGACTCCAGTGAAATGTTCCTGAAACATCATTTACTCCTTTCCCAATGTGGTTGGAATTGTTGGTGGGGGGCATCATTAACGGTGAGGTCAGCTATCTCCATCTGTGTTTTACATGACAATAAGTAGCTGTAGAAGGCTTAAGAATGACCCACCCCAAACTTTCTATCTCCAAAGAATGCTTTCTTCTAAAGCCCCTACAAATAAACACTGCATATACATATACCATTACATATACCAATAGGAGCTGTACTGGCATATCATATGTAATATAGCTAATAATTCCCAGCAGAGCCGATCTGTTTCCAGGGCAGTCATTATATGCATGGTTACACTGGTTTCCCTGGTGCTGATCACAGCCGCACAACCAGCTACTGCTGCAGTGGTGGCTATTTTTGAGCCTCCTCATAAAGGTGGCATCTGGGGCTGCTGCCCTGCTTGCACCTTCTCAGTAACACCAATGATTCCTAGATGTGAAGATGTCCTTTAAATCAAGAAGGAAAAGAAATCTTGCATTTAGCTGGATCCTTTAGTGTTGTAACAATGTTCGTTATATAAAGGTAACTTAAGAAGAGATCCATTAAACAGGTTTCCCTTGCTTTATGTGGGTTCTGTATGTGTGAATTCACTCTTATGCAATGACCCTTTTTATACCAAAAATTTTATACCAACAATATACATGGCAAATTCATTCTTATGTGATCAGAGTGGTGGAAGTCTGCAGTCAGCTGCTTTGTGCAGTGCATTCTGGGAGCGATGCACACCAAAATATAATCTCGTGTGTGGATCTGTGCTCCTCACTCCCTGTCTTCAACATGAGTTTCTGTAGCCATCCCCATTATGGCTTCTAAGCATCCTGCTAACTTATCTTCTACCCCTCTCCCTGGTCCTGTACCTTCTACCAGTGATGTGGAGTCTGACACTGAAGATCCTTCACCACCCTCTCTTCACACCAGTTAAGCATTCACCACCACCTTTTGCTTGTGTGTACTGTCGCAAGTACCAAAAGTATCTTGTAAAAGTGGTAGAAAAGGGTCTGGAGCTCAGTATAGTTGAGGTCTTGGAACATATCCCTATTTGTTACACTGTAAAGTGGGTTCCCTTTATGCAAATTTGAGTTATTCACCATTTTCCAGAAAACACATACTGCATAAAGCGAGAGAAACCTGTAAAATCATGGAGTAAAACTTTTGTTCAGGGATGTGTGCAAGAAACATATTTTTAGAAATACAAAGAACTCTTAAGAAGTGGTATGTCTGATTTGCCAAATCATAGGACCTGCTTTACTTTATGGATTATTAACTGGAGAATGATAATCCAGTTCATGTGCCTTTTGCACAATGCCACTGGAGAATTGTATTTTTTCTTATTCTTTTTAGAGCTGAGATTAAAAAGTGCCCTTGTTAATCTTCTTGCAACACACAAAACAAGTAAAAGAATATTGGTCTGTATACCAAACTGTGTTCTATCTGCTTTCAGACTAACTGTCTCTAGACAAAGTTTCCTGTTTCTTAGCTAACAGTCTGTTCGGAATCTGGGGAATATGCAGTTTCAGCTTCATTGGCCAAATTCTTATTATACTTATAAAAAAAATAGTCTTGGCATAAACAGCTGATGCCTATATTTACCAAAGGGGGCCAAAGTTCTGTAGACATCAAAAAGTTTAGCACATTGAAAACAACATGGCAACACAAAGACCAAATAAAAGGAAACATGAAGTAAAAGAATCAAAGAAAAAAAAGCAAGTTTCAGTTTTGTTGAATTTTATATGATTCTTTCTACTTCCAAAAGTCTAGTGTGCCTAAGACAACAGGTCTGCTTTTAATGAGTGAAAGTTGCAGTAATCCTATAACTGTTCTGTATATATACTTTCTCCTGTTATAGCCCCAAAATTATGTGGTCCTGGAGGGACTCCAACCCAACAGCAACTACAATGTGGAACTGCAGGCAGTAACACGCTGGGGACAAATACGGCTAAAAAGTGCTAAGGTTTCTCTTCATTTCAGCACTACACAAGAGACCATTAATAGTAAGTGACTGCATCTAAATGCTCTTACCACTGTGTTTTAACTGATGAATTCTCAGATTTTAAAATATTCTCAAATTATAAATGGCTGCAGTTTAGCATACCAATGTGGTTTTATTCAGGTCACACTGCTTTATTTCCTTGACTTTCTTCTTTATAAATTGGATATATTTCTGCCTACCTTGCCTGTTTTGAAAAGTATTATTTTTAAAGAATAGTTCTTTTTAAAAGTAAACACTTTTTAACATCCTGCAAAAGGTAAGCATTTGCAGTATCACGACCTTACTATTTATAAAGTGTAGGCACTAATCACCCACAAGTACATATTTAAAGCCACCAGTAGCTAAAGCAGAAGTAATCCCAGACCTCTGTCTTAATTGAACAATCTAAACTTTCAAAAGTTTTAAAAATCTTGACAGCTTTGAGTAGCTTATTAATTCAAATTGGCAGCAGTGGCAGTTCCTCGATAGGAGAATGAAAGTCTTCCAGTAAATATGAAAGCCATCAGTGAAACTGTAGATGCACGAAGAGGCCAATCCTGCATGTTCATTTCCAAAAATGTGAAATAGTTCTGGGAGGAAAGAGTAGATCTTGATGTTGTTGGGTCACAGCTCTCATCTATATGCCTCCATGGTGCAGTGAGTTTACTTGATTGATCCTTGTCACATACCACAGCACCATTTGAGACAATTGAATACTTGGGTCTCTCAAGTATTGATGTTAATATTGCATTGCTTCAGATAGGCCTTCAAGATGTCTTCAAATCTCTTCTTTTGCCAACCTCTAGAAAAGTGACCATCAGTAAGTTGGGAGTATAGGACCTGTTTTGAGAGCCAGTTGTTTGGCATCCTTATGACATGCCCCATCCAATTGACCTGAAGTCATATAAACATAGCTTCAATGCTGGTGTCTGCATGAGCCAGAACCCTGGCATTTTTTCTTCTGTCCTTCCTGTGATGTCAAGGTTTTTCTGAAGACATTGCTGATGGAAATGTTCCAAAGCTTTCAGGTGTTTTCAGTGTGTCATCCAAGTTTCGTACCTGTACAACAGGGTAAGGGTTACAGCATGCTGGTAGATGATAGAGGTGCACCAATATATTGCTGGCATATCAGATCAGCACCAATAAAATACCTCATGCATGAGCAGAGTTGCAACGTGAACACAGCCAGGAATGAAGCCCAGCAGCATAGAGAGCAGCATCTGGTTGGTATGTCTGTGGGTGGGAAGGGGCATGGGGGAGGGAAGGGCTGGAGCGGGGGCAGATAGAGGCTCTCACGGTGAGGAAGGGAGTGGGGCAGGGGCAGGGCCAAGGGAAGGCACTGCCCAGCCAGGGTGGTGAATGTGGCCCCAGGAGTAGGACAGAGCTGTGGGTGAAACATATGGGGAGTATGGGGGCTAGAGGGGCGGCTCCCCGCCATGGTGTGCAGCCCTTGGGGGAGCATGGGGAGGCATATGCAACTCCTAGATTTGTGCATGGGGCGAGGGCAGGCTGCCTGTTGTGGGCTCAGGGCCAGGGGATGTACCAGCCTCTTCCGGTGGATGCGGGGAGGGGGGCACTGGGCTGGGGATGCACTTGGGATGGGAGGAGGCAGGGTGAGCACTAGGAGGGGTGACTACAGGGTGGGCTATAGCCACCCCAAAATTCCCCATAGCCACCCTCCCAGTGCCGCTGCCTCCTGCCCCACCCCTACCAGCTCCAAGCTCAGCCCTGGCCCAGCCCCTCTGCTGGGAAGAGACTGGCGCAGCCCCTGGCCCCAAGCATGCAGCAGGCAGCCTGCTCTCACCCCAGGCACAAATCTGGGGGGCTGTAACAGGTCTCCGCTCTGGGCCAATCTAAACGTGGCCTGCACACCTGTTCCTGGGGCAACCGCCCGCCTTCTCGCCTGCCATGCCTTGCTGTTAATTGATGTTAATTAGCAGGAGGCTGCCCTTGTAGTGCCCCGATGCCAGGGGGAGCTATCTGCAGCTCTGTTTCCTCCCCTACACTGCAGCCCACACCTCGCCAATGGAATAGATTTTGTTATGTCCTAGCCTTATTATAATTTGGCCCCTTATCCTCTCTGGGTCCTACCTCTTTTGATCTGTGCCCTCTCTGGTGCTAGGGCTCTCCCCGGCCCGATCTCGCTATGTGCCCTCTTCTCTGGGCCTTCTCAGTAACGCTGCCCCCTCCTCCAGGGCTTCTCACCTGTCCCCTTTCTGGGGTTGGGGTCAGTGCACCCCAACTGCTGCACGCTCACTGGTGCTGGGGTCCCCACACTGCTGTGGGTCCTCTATGAGGCCTCCTCCAACCCCTAGTAGCCTCACCCAAATTACCAGTGACAAACAGCAACACAAACATAAGCCCCTTAGCTATAACATAAATGGAAGCCGCCCAGTCATAACAACCGTCCAGCCTACCAGGGAATACTCCATCCCTCAGTCATGTCAGATGCTGCTCCTTCAGTCAGGCTGCTCCTGTCTTCCATGAGAGAGAGCTCCTTCCTCCTTGGCTACTCGCAGACTGCCTCTGGCCCCCAGCCCCTAGGGTTTATAAGGGAGCCAGGCCCTGCCCCTTCTGGTCATCTGACCTCCTCTGGTTGCCTTGGCAACCAACAGCTGGGCTCCTTATTCACTGCTAGGGCTCCTTCCCTAGCAGTTTCCCCTCTTTAGGAGCAGGGCACCTCAGTGCTTTGTGACGGAGGCACATGCCCCAATGTCTCCCCTGGCGGGGTGTGCAGCAGTGAGGAGCTGCCCCCACTCGCCATCTCCCTGTAACCCCCGGATGAGCTGCCCATGGCTTCATCCTGCTCCTGCGGTCTCATTCACTGCCCTGGTTGGGTAGTTTCTGCCCCTGCCCCACTCCCTCCCTCACCATGGGGGCCTCAATCTGCCCCTCCATGCCCCTTCCTCCCCCACACCCATTTGCCACCACAGACTTACCAGTCAGACACTGCTTTCCAAGCTGCCTAACTGCATTCCTGTAAATCAGCTATCAGATATGTATCAGCTGATATGGCTGGTTAATAATCAACCATTGGTATCGACCAAGAAAATCTTTATCAGTGCACCCCTAGTAGATGAGAAACTTGGTTTTGGTTTCTGATGTCATGGTCATTAAAAACAATTTTGGAGACACCTTAAACCAGCATTGTTCTGTGTCAGATATCATTATTCCAGATTTATTTTTGGGAAAAGATGGCCACCCAGATAGAGGAAATGATCAACATTCCTAAGGAATTGCTAAGGATGGGTTGATTCATAGATTCATAGACATTAGGGGCTGCAAGGGACCTCCTGAGATCGAGTCCAGCCCACAGGCCTTAGGCAGGAAGTCGTCTGGGGTCAAATGATCCCAGCAAGATAAGCATCCAAACACTTTTTGAAACAGTCCAGAGTAGGTGCTTGCACCACCTTTGGGGTGGGGGGTGGTCTGTTCCAGACCCTGGACACTCAGACTGTAAAGAAGTTTTTCCTTATGTCCAGTCTAAATCAGCCTTCCAGAAGTTTGTGATCATTAGACCTTGTTATCCCTTGGGGAACCCTTGTGAACAACTGTTCTCCCAGATCCTGGTGCGCCCCCCTTATATACTTATAAGCTGCCACCAAGTCCCCCCTGAGCCTTCTCTTCTCCAGGCTGAAGAGTCCCATGTCCCTCAGCCTTTCCTTGTAAGGCTTTCTCTCTTGACCTATGATCATGCGGGTGGCTTTCCTTTGGACCCTCTCGTGCTTATCCATGTGTCTCCTGAAGTGGGGGGGCCGAAAACTGTACATAGTACTCCAGCTGTGGCCTCACTAAGGCTGAGTAGATTGGGAGGATGGCGTCCTTGGTTTGGCTTGAAATGCACCAGTGGATGCATGCCAGGGTTTGGTTTGCTTTGCCAGCTAAAGCATAAGATTGGTGGCTGTTGCAGAGCACATAGGTGCCCTGCTCCTACAGAGGAAAAACTGCTAGGGAAGGAGCCCTAGCAGTGAGGGACGAGCCCAGCTGTGGGTTGCCAGGGTAACCAGAGGAGCTCAGCTGGTCAGAAGGGGCAGAGCCTGGCTCCCATATAAAGCCCAGGGGCTGAGGCCAGGCTAGCAGTTCCCTGCCAGTAGCCAAGGGGGAAGGAGCTCTCTCGGGGAAGAGAGGGGAAGCCTGACTGGAGGAGCAGCGTCTGACACAGCTGAGGGATGGAGTATTCCCCGGTAGGCAAGAATGTTATTATAGCTGGGTGGCTTCTGTTTAAGTTATAGCCGAAGGGCTTGCGTTTTGTTTACTGTTTGTCACTGGTGGTTTGGGTGAGGCTATTAGGGGTTGGAGGAGGCCTCATAGGGTACCCACAGCAGTGTGGGAACCCCTGTGCCAGTGAGGGCACAGCATTCGGGGTGCACTGGCCCCAGCCCCAGAGAAGGGCAGTTGAGAAGCCCCAGAGAGGGGGCGTTGCTGACAAGCCCCAGTGCGGGCATGGTAAGCCCTGGAGAAGGGGGCAGCATTGTGGTGAGCCGCAGGGAAGGGGGCCGCATTGCTGAGAAGGCCCCAGAGTGAGGGTGGCATTGCTGAGAAGGCCCCGAGGAGGAGGCGGCATTGCTGAGAGGGCGCGGAGAAAGACCGGGCCGTGGAGAGCCCGAGCGCCAGAGAGAGGGTGTAGACCTAGACCGAACAATGTCTGTCCCATCTGTGAGGCTTGGGGCATGGTAAAGGGGTGGTTGGAGCTACGCATATCCCATAAGGCTAGGGTGCCCTGGAGCACCCATTTGCAGAACAGGACCCACAAGGGGTCCGGGAGTCCACGGGGTCAGATGTTACAGCAAACTGTGTCCAAGAGGACGTAAGTCAGCCTCCCTAATATATTAGACCAAAGACGTGGCGGGAGAGAATTTGAGGGTGCCCTTGGGCCAACTTGACACGGGAAGGGGGCCTTGAGGAGATCACGGCCCTCCTGCAGGACCCCGTGCCATGACAATGGCTCATATTCATCTTGTGGTCAATCAGGACCCCCAAGTCTCTTTCAGTCATGGTGCTAGCGAGCATAGCACTGCCAAG